TTTTAACATAACGAGATCCTCGGGATTCTATCCTCTTGTTTTTATCCTTTATCTCCTTAACCCTTCTTAATGCAACCCCTTCAAACTCCTTGAATCTACCCCCTCTCCCGGTTCGACCGCCTTCTCTCAATGACTTCTATAACAATAGAATTCCAGGTTAAGTACATGGGTATGCGAGCTGTTCTTGTTCATCAATATTCAGTAAATCCAACAACTCCCAACACTAATAGTACAAGTTTCGGGAGATTGAGTGAATTGTATTTTAACCCCTTGGACGGCGGGGCGATAAGGTGAATTTATTCCTTCGTATGTATTGTTTCCAACCTTTTGACAACTTTTATTTTTCTTTCTTCAATATACGGATACCAAAGATGAAACGACAGATTCATTCTTTTTTATCCGAATGTTTTAGGACAATAGTTGTTTATACGTATCCTCGGGTATAATATGTACAACCAAATGTACACGAGCATGACAATAAGACGTAATAAAGTAGAATGTGAGGGAACAATATCACAACCAGAGATAAAACTAAATTACAATATTAAATTGTAAAGATTATGCTTCCTGTGACCCTTAGGAGCATAGTGAATAGTTCAATTTCTAAGTTTTTCTTTTTTGTCTCCATTATAAAAGATCTCGGCAAACTGGATTAAAAAATTCAAAGGTTTCTCAGACTGCGTCGCCCTATGGCAAGTCCAGTTTGGCAAAACAAAACTTTAACTGTCATTCACGGTTAACGCGCTTCAAGGTTTAATATTATAAAAAAATACCGAAAAATGTGTTAGTTAAACTAATATTCCTTTTTAATGTTGCAGTGAGACTTTAAAGTTCCCAGCATCGGGAAATTTGCAGAAGTTATCATGATACAAAAACCGGGGAAACCGGCGAACGAGGTCAAATCATATGGACAATATGGCTACTACCGACAGTCTAAGCTTTTCGAAAAGTTACACTAAAAAAAATAAGATCCATTACAGAATACAAAAAAAAAATCGTCCCTGACACCGAATTGCATTTTGAACAAAACATTCAACAATGGAACAAATTCACGAGTAACAGATGTAATAGAAAAATCACTCGGAAAAAAAAATTGTTCTGCAATCTTCCTTGATGTCTCCCGGGCTTTTTTGACAATGTGTGGCATGAAGGACTCATTAGTAAACTAAAAGGCATGCTACCAAAACAGTGTACAGATAGTTACACCTAACTGACCAGCAATTTACAGTCAAACAAAAAGACCAATATTCAGAATGAAAAATAATAAATGCAGGAGTGCCACAAGATAGCAAACTAGGCACAATACTTGTTATACACCATTGTTTGTTTGAAAACGTATGGAATGAAAATTGCAACTTTGCAGATGACACAGTAGGACCGAGAGGTGTAACAAGATACGTAAATTGACAAAAAATGGAGTATCAGGCTCAATCTACATAAATCTTTATATATAAATTTTACAAACATAAAACTGGACCATGTTCCGACTTGTACCATCGATGGAAGTATTATACTATACAACGATACAGCTAAATATCTGGGAATGGCCTTTGATGCCAATTGAGATGGAAAGATCAAGTAAAGAAACAGGACATATAATTATCCCAGTTTTCTCCAGAAATCTGAAACGGGGATTCAAAAATTCGCTGACGTGCTCGAGCACAATTCTTACATCGGGCGACATTTGTGCTCGCTCCCTTTATTGAGCCAAGGAATGACATCCTTCAATTATGTGGGACACATCGAGCAACCATTCTCTGCCTGCTTGAGACATATGCGGGCTTTGGCTCAAAAGTAGGTGTTCGTGTGAGAACCGCGTATGGCCAATTCTAAATCGGATTAGGATGATCTGTCTTCTGCTGTTACTTTTTTCAAGTAAATCACCCCCAGGCACGGTTTTTCCAGTACGACACGCTAATAACGAGGAATGGGTTAATTTGTGTTACCACAAAATAGTGGAGAAGTAAACGAAGGAAAAAGCGCATACTAATAAACAATTATTTAGAAAAAGTGCGGAGTATCATTGGAGGTGACTGATACATCTTCAGCCTTTTTTTTTTTTTGTTATTTGTGTTTTCCCTGTTTTTCGGTGTAAACCTCTTACAGTGTTTGCTTTTATTTTATTTTTATTTATCACATTATTTGTTTTAATAAATTTCTAAATTAATAATTTTTTTTTCAATCATAACAGGTCCCCTTACACAGATCTTTAGCCGTTATAATTATAATTATATTATAACGTTTCCGGTAAGGACCGCTGCGCGGCGATCTGGTTTTACAGGGATTTTTTTTTCCCTGAGATGTTTTATAACAATTTTTAAGGAGAATTTTTGGCGGTTAGAACATTTTTAAACAATATAAATAGACTATTTTGACTAGTAATAAAAACATGAGCACAATGAAACAATTAAATAAAAAGATTGTTAAATAGATCTTACTAGCCTAAATAAACCCGTTAGACTATATACCTTTATAAATCTAAAGTTTTATAAATCTAAACAAACATTTCATATAAATTATTTAAATATATACATTATAACTTAGACTAGCTATTTCATATAAATAATTCAATTTTATACTCATATAAACATGAGAATAATGAAAACAAAATAAATAACTCAATTTACTAAAACATGCTAGCTTAAATAACCTTAACGGACTATATACATTTATAACTTTAAATATAACTTCTCAAATATATAATTTAACTATGAACATATATAACATAAAAACAAGACATTTCATTTAAATACTTCGATTATATACATATACAGTTATTAATAAAATGACTATATTGACTAGGGAATTAATATAGTGATCATAAAAACATATGAATAAAAAACTTAACTACTTAATACTACCAGTTTAAATACATGATTAAACCATATACATTTATTTTAAACTACCATTTTAATTAAATCATTTTACTATATACATTCATAATTTACACAATCAGTTCAAATAAATAGTTCACTAAGAGTAATTAAATTTGTACATTGAAGTTGTTTATTTACATACATAAAATTAAAATAATAATAAATAAAATTTTATTATCGATGATTTTCATTTTGATTTTGTGAACTGTGTTTAAATTTTTTTTCATAGACATACTTTATAAACTCTTTATAATTGTGTTTGTTCTTTGTCAGTTCTACCAATTTACTTTCATCATCTATTTTTGTTTTTATTTCCATTTCTAGTATTCTTCTTTTATGGTTATAGATTTCGCATTTCGTCACAATATGTTCAGCACTTTCTATTTCCCCACATTGGCATAAATTGGTGTTTTTTAACTTGTAATTATATAAATATTTATTAAATTCTCCATGCCCTGTTAAAAACGGTAGTAATATAATTTGGTTGAATAAAATTCCCGTTTTTGATTCTTGATTTAATGCATGGCAAGAATTTATAAGTAGTTCGCCCTTTTATGCTTGCTTGCCATTTTGTTATAATTTCGTTTTCTAATTCTTTAATTATTTCACTATAATTATTGCATGTTGTTTTCCTTAATTTGTGAATCTCTATTCTTTTAAGGAGTTCTAAGTCATACATCTTCAGCCCGAATGCATTAATGTAAAATGAGGTCATGAAAATATATGATCTCTGTGCCAGCTTTGTTGCCAATTTGCCAAAGCGTTGAATCAAATAAAGCATTCTTTACTAGGGGGTAAATTATTTTCAGGAGGATTATGCGTGTAAATCTTACTTACCGGCTTTACGCGAATGATTCTATAACTATATATTATACCTATAAATAAGTATATGTATTCTATATAGATTAAATGACTACATAACTAAAATATCGTTCAAACCGGTGGTGTCTAGGGGAGATAGTTCGTATATTTATTTTGTATACATATTTCAACTTCTACAGAATATAATAGTTAAAGTAAGGCCGTCCGTGACCTCTATTTTTAAATATCAAAACTTTTTTTCCCCAATCATCAAAGGTCTAGGAATTTATCAAAACGCGTTTTAGCTTATTGACATAGCTAATAAGTAGTAATTTTCTGGGAAATAATAATTTTTTGATGTGTTTGCTTGATCTGGGGTAATTTTAATAATTTCATGTCATTCTTTCAATAATTTTACGACAAAACTTATTATTTCTACTTCTGCTAATATAGCGGAATTATACTTTGCATGCTTATATTTCAGTGTCCTAAATTTTTTAAAAATGTTTTTAAGAAAGGGTTAATTTGATGGAAAAAAGCTATAAGATTTGAACTGAAGTACTTTCTTCCCAATGTTCTCTATTTTTTTTTTTTGGTATTTCATATGGGGATCGGTCTCGATTCAGTTGTCTCTTCGAGCTTGTTAAAATGATTAAGCCCCCCCCCCCCATAACATTGAAGTGTATCGTATACCCTAGAGAGAGAGGAGAGGCAAATAAAGCAGCCAAGTGAGCACCGAAGTTGGTCATATATAAATGAGGGTTGGTTTTGTCCAAGAATATGTTACCTTAAAAAAAAGATAGGGGAAAAACAACGGAGGTGTGGAGCGCCGAAGGAGAGGAGAAGGAAGAGACGAGGGATGATGAGGGCAACGTCAGGTCGATTCCAGCAGGCCCGAGGAGACGGACAGGGAATAGGTGCCGGCGTCTCACAGATAAGATGATATAATATATCTTGAGAAATAGTCACCCAATATTTGGAGATATCGTTTCGAGGATCTATTGCCACCAAATCCACTAACTGTGTCTATTGACATACTTTCGTGTGGTGTAGTTGCCGGACCCAAATGGGAAATCAACCCCATTGGACGGATATATATATATAAATATAAATTTACCTCATATGTATATGTGAATGTATTAGCAAATCTAACCATTTCTAATCTGGCCATACATAACCTATCTCAACCCAAGTGGGTTTTTCACTAACGCAAATCGATGAGGCTAACACAAAAAATTTGTATCCAGCTCAAAAACATATCGAGTTAAAACTTGTTTTTTGTCAACTCTTTAGTTTATAAAAAAGATTTTGTTTTTGTTTCAGGAACACTTGAAAGCATTGTCGGCGGCTAAAGCGCGGCTACATCACAGGTGGCTTCAAAAGGAAAAAATACAGAGCAAACTTTTGACGTAATCTCTTCCGATGAAGCGAACGCGAAGAGGAGGGAGTTAGCAGAGAGGAAGATTGTAAATACGACACACAGATCGGATGGACATGAAAGGAAATATCCTGTATATTTCTCGTTTTTAACATATTGGAACTAATACAGAAATATTTTTTTATCCACCCTTTTGAGAGGGTTTTTTTCTTTTTATACCGTTCAACTTGAAACAATGGAAATAAGTCAAACTCGGGGATTTTTATTTTGAAAGGGTTCAACAAAAATGGGTGAGGGGGGTCGTAACATCCTTCCTGAGTCGTAGTGGTTTGTTTATATGTCGTAAGCTGTGAGCACCCATTGATTTATGGCGGCATTTTGTCGTTTAATGTCGTAGCCAGTAGTGTGCTTATTGAGGTAACGGCACATTATTTTGTTACGCCCCTTTTTCCACCTCGGCCATCGTCGCACATCTAGAATCGTTTTCCCTTGGATTTCCACTGCCAACCGGATCACATTTTATCATTTCTCCTCCCTTTGTAAATTAGAAAAAAAATATAGTGAGAAAGATTAAATCATGGATTACCATATATTTATATTTAATTTAGAATGAATACAAACGTGAACGGTTTATTTGAAATGCTCTACTTAAACAAGCCATTTGAAAATTTTTCACTGCCATGATGATCGTAACTGTGATTTCTCTTCTTCAAAATTAAAATTATAATACGCCCAGATATTTGAAATATAAAATATCACAGTTATATTTTGTCTTGGTGCCTTTTTTCCATTGTTTCAAGCTGACTTTTGTAAAATGGTATTTTTGAAAACTGGACCGAAATAAAATCGAACAGGTCGATTAGTAATGAACAAAAGACAAAAATAAAGACTTTGTGAATGTGATCCTTCTCTAATTACAAATATGTAACATGATATATCACCATTATATATTTAAAAGGTCGCTTAATGTGAAAAGAAAATATGTTAAATAGTCTATTTTACAACAGAACAAAAAATGAATGAAAGATAGGAAAGAAAATGTTTTTACCCTGTTACGATAATAATTATTTTCTTTGATTTTAATTCTGTCTTCCCGAGTAATTGAGAAGCGTTATGGTTAGTATTAATTTATTCAATTGAATACAACCTGGAAGGCATACATATCAGATGTAAAATGAAACAAAGTCAATAGTATTCTGCCTCCGCGAACGTGCATCGCTCAGGAAATTTGAAATGGTTTTTGGGCGCATATTTTATCAAAATTAGCATAGCTTAAACAAATATTTCGAAAAAAAACACACTTCAGTTTGCGACAAAACAATAACTCTGATATTCTGATAATCAAAACAATCTGAAGCCCATTGTCTGGTTCAAATCGTCAATAATTCCATCAATGTAATTATAATTATCATTAAATAATTAATTTATTGTTAAATTTTACTTAAAAACGTTTCAAATCAAAATTTAAATTAACACGTGAAAAATTCTAATAAGACAAGGGCGACAGACGTGTGATCACCGACTTTATATTCACTAGGGGCTTTGTAAGCCAAGAAAACAATTGTATGTTAACATGTTTTCATGTATTCGTGCATGTATTTCATGGTTATTAATATATAAATTGATTTTATTTTACTCAAGGACCGGTCGACGTAGGAAAATAGGGTCAAATATTTGTATCACATATATATTTTTTTTTAGGATTTTACGTCAATATAAGAGAAATATATTGATGACATCAATAAAAAGTCAAATTTATTGCGAAAGCTTTGGTTTTTTACAACTTTTTATATATCTATTTTCATTTAATATGATTATGCTTCTTATATTATCACCCTTGGTAAAAAATAAACAAAAGCAGAAAACCATATGGATAAAAAACTATGGGAACTACTTAACATATTTTTTCTAGGCTCCTAAAGCTCATTGCGTCCGTCAAATGTCTTTTAATAAATTTATTAAAAACTTTTCGACACGTTTATGTTAACTGGGATCCACGATCATTTATATTTTGTCAGTGTGAGATTTCTTGTAAGAAAATGTTCGGAAAATATTTGATGCGATATTCAAATAAATATTGTTGAACATTTAGTAGAATTTTATTTTTGCAGTCAAAAATATATCCAACACAAGGATTCTTCCTCAATCACTTTTATTTTTAATAAATATTAGTTTGACGATACGTATAATTTTTTCAATTTATTTTAAGTCAATGCTTAAAAAATTATTCATTTCAAATTCATAAAGTGTTTTATAAAATTTATAAAAAGAGAACCTTCCCGTTTTCATCGGGGAGTAATTTTTTTATTGTGCAATTAAAAAGTGTTACTTCCATCTTTTTATTCTACAAAGGATAATTTGACATGATAACACTTCGCAGTCAGGGTGAAAATATATTTTTTTAAAAATCTCATTCGAATTGACTAAACCGAAAAAAAATCTTCGTGAAGTCTTTAGTGTTTTTACTTGTAAATATTGATTGTAAATAGTAAATTTGTAGATGTTTCTTTACACATGTAACCGACACGTTAGTATTTTGTGAAATTCTTTTGTGTTTTCAATGACATTTTATGTAACGTTGATATTTATGGTGATTTCTTTTATATGAATATGCTTGAATCATAATTACAAGGTTATTAAATTATTCGTGTAAGATAAATTAGGCAAACTGAATGTTATGGAATTAATAATAGCTAGATTTAAATATTTGTAAGAGGATTAATAAAAGGTCTGATTTAAATTATTGTATACGCTCATTTCCTTTCCTTTTTTTTATCTAGGAGAAATCAAACCAGGCTATAAAAGCAAGAGGAGAAGAAACATTAATTCGGTACTATTTTTTAAGTTCTAAAATAAATCAATTGCTTCATTCTGTGATATTTTTCCTTTTCGCGTTAAGGCAAATGTCATCTGTAATTATTCGACCATAATCTGAGATAAATGAAATTCGGTGGCAACGCGACCACTTACAAAATAGGGCTGAGAATTTCTCCCTGTGGGATTCCTTTGTAGGTCTTAGACCGCCCTCTGCTATCTATTATCACTATTATTGCGATTTTTATTCTTCATTCTCATGTCCGATATTACAGTCATGTTTTGAACAAAATCCCTATGAAGCCCTATAACCAGGATGTGAATGTGGTACTTAACTACTTAACCTTAGTATACCACTTCTTCTTAACCTCCCTCTCAAACCTATTGACCCTTCCTAGAAGTACCGCGTTCACGAATCGCCAAGTGGAAAATCCCCTGGACATGATCTAATAATGTAATAATAAATAATACGGTGTTTATTTTATTTTATTTATTTATTTTTTTATAAAAGGCAGCGACCCTTGTGGTCATTTAGGCCTTGAGACAGTGCGCCGGCGGCACCACCGAGACACGCCACCGGGCCCGAGCCCCAAGGCACACGGCACCAGACCGGTCCAAGGGCTAGACAGTGGAGCCAACAGGATCTCTCGCGATTTTTTAAATTTGGACCCTGTCGCGCAGTGCTTATTCGAGGAGGGGTCGGTGTCCAGTCACCATCGACACCTCCTCAAGCTCACCGTGGATATCTGGATCCCAGAGTCCTGAGTGGTCCCCCAACCCAGCCCCGGACCGGCCCGCAACCGAGGACCCCGAGGGCCCGACCCCGACCGCGAGCCCCGCCGCAGCCACCGACGTGGGGAGCACGTAATGGGAGCAATTGTTTAACTAAATTTTATTTATTGGTTTTGTTTTAGCTAGGAAGTTGAATATTTTATCTATGTAAGGTGAATTATCGTTCAGTAAACTATGTATATTGTTGGGGATTTGGTAGTGGGATCTAGCATAGGAATATAAGGGGCACTCTATTAAAATGTGAATTATAGAGATGGGAGATTTACAAGTTGGACATATGGGTTTGGGGTTTTTTCAAGGAGGTAACTATGGGTGAGCCGGGAATGACCTATTCGTAGACGGGTTAACAGTGTCTCTTGTTTTCGGGAGGGTCTGGAGGAGGATTTCCATTGTTTTACATCTTTTTTTATATTGAGAAGGGTGTTTATTTTTAAAGCATTACATATGTACATGATACACTTAAGCTTGGACATTAAGTACGCCAGCGAGCAATCAGAATTAGTATATCAATTTCTTTTCATTTTTCAAAACTTAAGTAATAATATAAAAAGTTCATTTCTTGATTCACACGAATAAAATGTATTTATATTTAAATAATTAAACTTTATTTTTTATCTAAGTTACACAACCAGAAATTCAATTGATAAAACAATTCTAATCAAAAACGTTTTTCTTATTCCAAAACTAATTACTAATAATCACAAACCAAATTAATAGATAATTAATTGATAATCTATTTACAAATAATTAATCACCATAACGTTATTACATTATGCACATATCAATAATTAAATTCTCTGACTAATAATCTACGGTATTTAAGTGCTCTGCGTGTGTACTGGAATAAGGTTTCACAATTTTTGCGGTTTATATATTTCACAAAATTCTCGTTTTCAATTGTCATTTTACCAAAGCAATCTTGCGGAAAACTACTTCAAACTGGGCACGTACTAATAAAATGAAAGTATCTCAACGTCTGCCGTATTACATAAAGAACAAATTCTTCTTTCCTCTACTTTAATTATGTCATAATTTAATCCTATCATCCCTCCTCGAACCTTAGATTAGAATTTAGAGAATTTAAACTATAGTTTTCAGCAAAATATATTTTTTTTAAATTGAATTAGGTATGTTTATAAAGTAGGTAAAATTGCGCTCTTCCTTTTTTTTTCCTAAGTCGGTTTCTACTTTTATCAACTTTTATCAAAGTAAGTAAATTATTACGAGCATTTTTGTCTTAGTATAAGCGTTCTATATTATTTATATTTAATTTACTGCAGAGATCCTGGAAGTCTTTAAACCCAAAACATATGATTTTTCATTATGTAACTAGCTAAGTTTTTTGGTAAACGGTTTGGTGACAAGTTCAAAACTTTCTCTATAAATTTAAATACCGTCCTAGTTTATGTTTAAACATCGGATGTAGACCTGTTTCTAGAAACAATATGGTAATCGGCCAATTTTTCGGTAACGAGAGCAATTTTTTTAGAAAAAATGTATTGACACTTTCCTTATATTCTTTCAAAATCCAAATTGAGGCTGCATAACATAGGATCGCATTTTGAAACTTGAAATTTCGCTTCAGTTCGCTTTAGCTTTGTTTTTGTCATTTCATTTTACGTGCAGCAAATACCAAATTTACATGTTGTAATCTTTTCAACAAAATGTGGTCCGAACGCTAATTGTGGCGTCAATGACTCCCCTAGATACTTATTATTCCTTTACTACCTCAATCTCGTTTTCTGCATACATCCATTTTTTTGCCAACTTCCCTCCTTTCCTAAACACTAAGATATTAGATTTGTTTAAATTCACCGTTAAATTCCACGTAATGCAGAACTCTTGTAAGTTATTAATCAAATTCTGAAGAGTGCGTGATTGTGTAGCGAGGATCCCAATATCATCCGCATATAACAAACATCTAATGTTTAAATTTTACTACCTAAGATTTCATGTAAGTCGTTTATAAAAAGCGAAAATAGTATTGGGGATAATAGGCAGCCTTGAGGAAGGCTCATAAATATATTAACACTCTTCGTAATACCTTTCCTAGTGCAAACACGACATTTATTATGTCCATAATCATTTCTAATCAGATTAATCAGTTTTGTTGACATTCCCATTGTATATAAGTTGTAAAATAGGGCTTGAACTTGAAGTCAACAAAAAAACAATACTTTTTTTCCGTTTTTCTCGAGTCTTTATTTTTTAATAAGGCACTCTCAACACGACTCGCAAGAATGGCACAATTACACAGAAGACAAACACTTTGAGCCCTGAAGATGATTTCAATAAAAATCGAAACGTTGGCACGATAAAGAAAATGTTTTTCTGAAACCTACATCACACCAGACCGCATCTCACGATTTCTAAATAACTATTTTTTAATAAAGTTCATA